AAAAGAGACATAAGGTGCTGGAGACCATGTAAATCCTGGATGCATTCACAGGAGTTACCGTCAGTGGCCATCAAATGGTTGAGCCAGAGCCAAACGTGTCAGGTGGAGCAGAAATGGAAGCCTGGATCTGTCACCAATGCAAGAGGGCACAATGAGAAGTAAATGTGCCATAACTTGCAAGTATGCTGTGAATACATTACTGTTACGAGCCCACCCAGCAGAATATAGTTCCGCTTTGAGAGATCTGGACTAGATGGCTTAGCTACAGGTGGTTTCCAAAAGAGTGTTGAATTTTACAAAGATGATCAGGAATTTCTAATAACATAGGAAACGAAACCATAGCTTGGACTACAATAATTATACATCATTCTATATAGTATCTTAAGGCTGGTTTAGTTGACTTTTTCAAGAAGCAAGGCTAATAGAGATGGATCTCCTTTAATGTAACATTCACCCAAGGTAACGGTTTATAAGGCTAAAAAATATAAACTAGCCCTTGTTTGATGTTCAATATAAATTACTGCAATTTGGCCCTTGGATTTAACATTCAAAAAAATATGTAATAACAAAAAACTCGTAACAGTAGAATTGCTTAAAACTTAAACAGAAGATGAGAAAATCACGCTATAGAATGGCGTATAAATGGTTGTCTATTTCTCAGTGAAGGTTGTATTAATTGATTTATAACCGTATTCTGTAGAGATATTGTAATTTTGTTGTTGATAATAACCAAAGTAAATTAGGATAATACCATGTGTTGATAAATTTCATAATGTTCTTGATTTTGGTTTTAGATTTAGTAGTTTGCTTCTTGTTAGATTTCATGTCAAGGTTTTCTCTGTAGGCTTTTATTAGGGATGAGCCGATCAGTGGTGTATTAGGGTATTGTGCTGCCCTAGGCAACACAAAATATGTCTCCCCAGGAGAGAGCCTGACATTGACCAACAACACCTCTGCTCCCCCACACCCGAAAGAGCCTTTCACTACCATCACCCCCATACATCGACCACTCCCCTCCCAGCGAGAGGGAGAGACACCTTCACAGCTCTGGACATCCCCAGGAACGAGAGTCAAGCAGCCCGTAGCCTGTCTCAGATCCCATCTGGTTCCCAAGCCGCATGTGTCCCTTCTTCCGTCCCTTCTTCCAGGGGAGCAGTGCTGTCCCCCTGAAATGCCACCCTAGACAAATGCCTTGTGGTAAATATGCCCCTGGCGCTGATACCGAGTATTTTCACGAGTACTCGTACTTGTGAAAATGCTCCCGATACTGATGCTTTCTTGCAAACTGCACCACAAAGAACAGCATGTGATTTGAACAGGAATGCGGTTCCTGTCCAAATCGCATGCCGTTTCCCCACTGCTCCTGTGTGAACTGAGGCTTGTTCACACCGATCCCATGCCTAGTGGATAGTGGGGATGTATACCATGGAGGCAGATGCTCCGGATTCTCAGCTCTAGGAGAGGACAGAAAGCGGCAGGGATTTGAAATACACACTGACCTCTGATCTGTACTGGGCTAGATGACAGAAATTTGATTATCTCAAAGTCTATAAATATTTAAGCAATTCTGTGCAAAGGTTATACTCTAAAAATGAAAAACATAAAACAATACAAAGAAAAATGTACAAGAGTATAAATTATCTGGTAGTGGTCACTGATTATAGGAAACAGTAAAAACCTAGTTGAGAAGACTCATGGACACCACCAGGACTGGACAACTTGTGGACCTCCTGTAGCTTTTGTTCTACAAGGTTAATAGGTCCTACAAGATACTGATTAGCCTTGACACAGCGAGGATGATCCACTAAAGAAGTTGAGAATGCTCACACATGAAAAATATTCACTTCAATTATCCAATCATGTGCAAATGAAATAAATAAGCAAGAATTTGCTTTTCACATGACTGGATAATTAAAGCAAATGTTCATATTTTTGTGTGAACATTCTGAAGTCCTTTAGTAAAGCAGCCTTGATATATGTCCCTCCTCGTAAAGCCTGGTCTATTACTACCATAGCAAAACCCAGCTTTTCCTTTGGTGTAATGATCAACAATTCCTAGACTAAGCTATCTTACTCTTCATGATAGGGCTCCTCTACTCAAGTCATAAAACCTTTGCATAAAGTAGGCCATACACCGGATATTTTTCTCGCTTTATAAATGATATAAAAATTAAACTGTAGGATCTGTGGAGGATACAGGAATTGACGTGGGCGGAGCCTGCCCAGTGATCCCTATTGCTTCCATCTAGGGGAACTGGCCTGTCACTGCACGTTGTGCTTTCAAAGGGTTCCACATGTCAAGGATCTAGAATGTGAAGACACTTCCCCAAAAGTTCCGCTGTAAGGTTTTGTCCCCCACTCCCCTTTAAGGATTGGCACCTTTGGGGAGCGGGGGGTACCCGAATTTGACAGACTCCCACTTTCGGTGCGATCGCCTAGGTGATCGGAAGCAGAAGTTGTCACCCCCCCCCCCCTTCTCCGTAGTCTTCTGTGACACGTGACAGGTCTGAGAAGACTACGTGACCATTCACTTGCGCATGCACATTGGGCACCAAGCTGTCACAGCCGGGTGCCCACACTGAAGATTCAGTTTAGCTCTAATGAAATATTTTACACAACAAACAAAAAAATATTAAAATATTGGTTCAATAAAATTGACTGAAACTAATATTTATTTCTTTAACATAATTAACATGTTCATTAGGCTGGTTACAGTAACACGGTGCATTTGATGCTCAGGATACCTGACTAGGAACAAATTTGTTCATATTTAATGGGGAAGCTACACATGGTTTGGCCAAACACGTTGAAAGCATGCAGGTAGCCAATGCCCCTCGAAAATATTCAGCGGATGCATTTTTAAGGCATTCCCTTTTTTTTTTTTTTTGTTTTTTTTTAAATCAGGTTTCCTGACCTCTGCCTATTGGCTGCCAGGGTGCACTGGGTGGCTCCTAAATTCCACATTTATCCAACACTGCTTCTAGAATGATTTGTAACATTCCATTTTCGAGGTAATACTCAAGCCAATTTATTTTAATTGGGTGTGGCGTTTGGAAAAGAATCCGTGTGCAGGACCACTTTAGCCTTTTCTTAGTTCTGTTTAGAAGACAAACATTAATAACTTAAAAGAACAATAAGATGTAATAAAAAAACTATCCTAAAAAAGACACATTCTAATACTTTGAAAGCGTCATCAAGTTTTTTTTAAGGCCCTAAAATAAATTATCAGCACCCTTCATTATCCCCTTTATTTTCTAGAAAAAAAAACTACAAACCTCAGTGGTACTAATGAGAATTAACTGTAATTCCCAACAATAAATAGGATTACGCTGAGATAACAAAACGATGTAAAAGCAAAAAACACCATCGCTTTGTAGACTGCTGACTTTTTCAGTACAGTCATACCAATACTTTAACACACCAACAGGCTGATTTAACAACACAGTGCAACATTCTGAAGCCCACACTAACCAATCCAAATCCAGGATGAAGCAGCTTAGTGTCGTAAGATCACTGGTTACTGTGGGCTATTGCTCACCATTGTTTTCTGCACTGTTACAAAATAGCCCCAAGTGCATAAAATACCTCTTAAAATGATATATAAGCAAAAAACATCAGATTCTTGATGCATCCAAAGAGATTTTGAGAGTTCCTTTGCTAAAAGGAACTGAAAGGTTGATCATATGTTACCAGTACAAAACAAGGTATAAAATCACCATACAAATTAAATCAAATTTGAATAGTTAAGGTCTTCGTAAAAAAAGTAGCAAAGCCCTATATTGTTCCAGGATCCAATTCAAACAGTAAAAAACAGCAAGAGAAGACTTTCTGAAGGTCCACCTAAGACCCAGAAGTTATCTACTCAAGTACTGAAGAAGAAAATATGTGAATATTCCAGGTTCAGGACTTCCTTACGCTTATTTGTATCAAATCAACTTCTTTCCATTAATGAGCAAGGCCAAAGGACAACCAAGAGTATACAGTGAAACTGAACCCAAAAGTTGCTCTTTAAGATGTAATCTTCTTTAGGTCTTCAAATAGTGATTTCCACTGAGCTCCAAGCTCGAAATTCCAGGTAACTGGTATCGTTTAGCTGTTATTGCCAAGAAACGCAAGGGATTTCCTGCATCAAAGGTCGGTAAAACCGAGTAGTACTCCTGCTGTCATTATCACTCAAGGCAAGTAAGTAAGCTACCTTCAACTCCAGTGAACTGGTGAAGATGGAACCACTTGAAGGAAGGTGTATGAGTTCTGGCCTCTAGCTAAAGGTCCATGATCCCCTATGGCTGAGGCAGAAGTCAGGTGCCACTGGAGTCATGCTTTTGTTTTTGTAAAATAATTAAAAATGTAAAAACTTGAATGTTCTACTGTTCCAGTAACATGAGAGGGTCAGTTCCAGACTTACTAGCTTTTCCCAAGGATGTACTCAACAACCAAAGTTTTGCTTTTTCAATAATAAAAAAAAATAATAATTGGGTGTTAATAACACAAGGTCAAAAAGTTCAGGGTGTCTGAATAGATAAAACTTTTTTTTACACATTATGAAACATCTGACACTTTTTGCCTTCTTCACCAATCAGGCTGTATTACCTGATAAATACTATCCAAAATGACACCCAGTATGTGTGGGTTGATACCCCAGTTTCGACCGATTGCACTCTTTGCGAATAAAATCCGTTTCCTCAATGAAGTTTGGTCAAACAAAGTCCATCAGACCCATAACACGTTGTCATTTGGCCAATCGTGTTGACGATAATCTGAAGGATCTATAGCTCTTCCCTTTTAACTTGAAGTTATAAATCTCAGAAGTGGTTTAAATAGCCAATGTATCAATTATCCATTAGGCCTCCAAAGAACACAGACGTCCCCCGAAGTATAACACATTTAGATAGTAAAATTGTCAACCACATTTTCCATCCGCTTGGGGGTCATCTCCCCCTGTGGATGTTAACTTTTTTAATAGAAGTTAAATTGTCTATGATATTTGCCTCAAAATCGCCATCGTGGACCCCAGTTTGGCGGAAAGCTCCTGCAGATGGATTGTTTTCCCAGTAATGGTGCCAGTTTCCTTTGCTGTCTGCTCCGAATCCATACAAGTCCACCTGTTTGGATGGAAGGAACACATCAATTTTAGGTATTGTAAAGGGAAACAATCCCTACCTATAGACTATATATTACTGTTTTATTGCACTGGTCTAGTATAAGTGTCAGTCTGGCCAGAACTAAATTTTCAGTTTTGTTAAGATGTTGGCAGGCTCAGTGAAAGTAGATGTAAACCCAATATGTGATTCTTGTGTGAATGGTTCATCTCTCTATTCCCAAAGTAACGTTGCTTCCTTGACTGCTTTAAGAGAAGCATGTGGAAATAGCTGTTGATCCTGCCAGCATACTGCTCTTCCAAGGATGAGCAGATGACAATGCTGACCATGGTTTCTGATTCAAATGGAAGTGTTGCCGGCTCACTGTACTTGATTCTGTATTCTGACTACTGGGTACCATGCCTGAGCATAGAGTTCTTCAAGTGAGCCATTGTATCCAGGGGCGGACTGACCATTTGGAAACTCAGGCACTGCCCGAGGGCCGGGGGTCAGTAGGGGGCCCCATGAGATGCCCCTGGTACCTTTTTCATAGGCTTTTTTGAGTTTGGGCAAGGACACAGGGGCCCCATGATCCCCTATTGCCCGGGGGCCCCATGAGTTGTCAGTCCGCCCCTCATTGTATTGTTATAGGGAGTTATGCCTCCTGGCCCATCCAAGGTCTCTTGACTGACGGGGTAGCAGCTGTGATATAGAGGAAGCTATGCTCAGCTAGAATGATAGTGGTCATGTGACCAATATTAAAAAAACCCTATTTATTTAAATTGCTAAATATTGTTGCGCTATGCCTTTAACCTCCCTAGCGGTATAATTATTTCAGATTTTTGGTGCTGAAAGCGGTACCATTATTTTGCATGGAAATATGTAGTTTTTTTATTGTAGGCTGTAATTTTTAGGAATAACTCCCTGAAATCTGTCCGAACAAGAGTCTAGTAAACATCCCGGGGATGATAAAATTTGAAACACGAAATCATAAATTATAATTTAATAAATAATCATAAAAAATAATAATATAATAATACATTTAATTCAATAATATAATCAAACCAAAAACACTGAAATTTGAAATAGAGCGCCAAGTTCGCACATCGCTGAGCAAAGTCGCAGAATCGTTTTCAGTGTTCTGATGACGAATTTCCCCCACGAATCATTATCACTCAATTCTGCAAGTGGTTCTGATTTACTATCGCTGTTCTCTAGCGGTCTAAAACCGCTTTTCACCTAAAGGGACACTTTTTGGACGCCATGGACGTTTCTCAGTTTCCAGGCAGAAAGAACAGACAAAATGCAGGCAGGGCGCAGGACAAAGCACTCGGGACAAAATGTATTTGAAATGGTTTCAAACAGCAATGTTTTACTATGTAAAATTTGTTTGGAAAAAAATGAAATTTTTTAAAATTTTCAAATTTCCCGCCGCCGGCACCCGTACGTCCCGACGTCACAGGGACCGGAACACAGAAGCCGGATGCCGGCATCGGCCGGAAAAGATGGCCGGGGACGCTGCAGGGGACACATCGCAGGAGCGAAGGACAAGGTAAGCTCTGCAGGGAATCCCTGAGCAGCGCCGCATGGTAAGCCCGAGTGCAGCTCGGGGTTACCGCTTTTGGTACTGACATTTTACCCCGAGCTACACTCGGGAATACCGCTAGGGAGGTTAAACCATCAGAAATATACAATAAGTGCACCATATAAATGTGCAATACCTTTTTTTTGGTAATAACTTTTTGTACAGTTAACATGCACAAAGAGGGCAGACCGAATATCATCTTGGGACGTTCACTGGATGACATTGCAGAAGAGTGCCATATCATACAAATAGTGAAAACAGATTGTCCCAGCCAGTAAGAAAAGGCGTCTAAGACGTAAACAGGGTATTGTCAAAAACAGTCGTTCATGTAGAGCATAATGGACAAGGTTATGTGGACAGTGGTGGATTTAGGTTTTGTGCTGCCCTGGGCAACACAAAAATCGCCTGCTCCCATGGACAACGACCAACACGACCCCCCCTTCCCCCTCCTGAGGAGAGAGCCTGACCAACAACACCCCCGCCCCCCACCAGGTAGAGTCTTCCGCTAACCCCTCCCCCCCGGTAGAGCTTTCCGCTAACCCCCCCCCCCCCCGGGTAGAGCCTTCCGCTAACCCCCCCCAGCGATAGAGAGACACTCATCTTCACAGCTCTGGACGTCTCCAGGAACGAGAGCCAAGCTCTACATATACCACCAAGCAGTCGCAGCCTCTCTCAGATCCCACCTGGTTCCCATGGTGCACGTGTCCCTTCTTTCATCCCTTCTTCTGGTGGGAGGTGCTGCCCCCCTGAAAAAAATGCCACCCTAGGCAAGTGCCTTGTTTGCCTTGTGGTAAATACGCCCCTGTATGTGGAACTAGTAATGGAAATTACGTAAAGGTATAAAAGGTTAAGGCAAGCGCTAAGATAGATTGGGGCTTACCAATATGCTGTGGGCTATAAAACAGCAAGGAGAGCGTTGTTGACCACTATACGGGGGCAAGCTGATGTTGAGGGAATTGGCTGAGGATAGGCCCGCAGGCGAGTACCGCGATGTCAAAGAGGGGTGGGCACAGAATGGGTGGGTAGGAGGAGGAGGAGGAAGAAGTAGTAAAGAAAGGACATAGAAGGAGAATGAGAAAGAAGAAGTAGGAACAAAAGTCAAGCATCCTCTCCCGGCAAGTGAGACAGAGACCAAAAAGAGTGAACCTTACTGAGGAGAAGTGAGTTCATTCAGATGGGAATCTGTGAAAACAAAATATTGCCATGGTTGTCAAGTGCCACCGAAGGTCTCTTTTTTATTGTGCAAAGTGGCTGTGAAGTCCTCCGTGTCCCTAAATTTGTTTACCTTGGAAAACCAGAGAGAAAGAGAAGGAGGGTGATCTTCCTTCCAGTGGACTGGGATGAAAGCCTTTGCTACATTGAGCAGCTGAATAGAGAAAGAGGTATTTCTTGATGGGTCTTCCCAACAAGAGCAGCAGGCAGGTCACAGGGTCATCATGCAGGGTCATGGCCAGGGGTGGACTGACAACTCATGGGGCCCCCGGGCAATAGGGGATCATGGGGCCCCTGTGTCCTTGCCCAAACTCAAAAAAGCCTATGAAAAAGGTACCAGGGGCATCTTATGGGGCCCCCTACTGACCCCGGGCCCTCGGGCAGTGCCTGAGTTTCCAAATGGTCAGTCCACCCCTGGTCACGGCAGTAGGTTGTTTAATTATGTCCGCTTCTGCTTGGCAAAATGACTGGAGCTTTGAGCATTTCCAAACAATGTAAAAAAAAGTGCCACAGTGCCAGCACTGGGAAACTGAGGCGAGATGTGGAGGAGCTTGGTAGGGACCTGATACCATCGGGTGAGAAGTTTGTAATTGATCTCTTGGACCATGGTGGCCGTGGAGGATTTTTGGGCAAAGTGTAGAATTTTATCCTTCTGTGGCGCCGTATAAGGACACACCTAATTCAGACACACCAAATTCCACAATTTACACTATGGGCTGCCGTTTGTTTTTTCTTGCTTGATGAGAGTGAGAGAAGTGCATTTAAGCGGTCCTGTGGCATCATCTATGGTTCCCGGTTTTTAAAAGGTGCCCTGCCTCCATAGCCCCTGCAGTTGTAACGTGAGGTCTTTATGTGCCTGATGACAACTGCATTCTGAGTACTGCCAGGCAGAGAAGTGCTAACCATTTAGCCACTGTGCTGCCCATAAGGATGCAATGGTTTGCAATCTTCAATTAAATAATAACTGGTGACCCTTCAATGAAGGTCTCTACTAAGGCACTTCCTGTTGTAGGGTGACAATGCTCTATCCCAGTCTCCCAACTGAGCTCCTGTGCTCTCACCCTGTCACATGGCTCCCAAAAGGGACTAAAAGGGACAATTTCTGAACACATTACACAGGCATGGTCCACTGTGGTCACCATTGAGAGACCAGCTCTAGGAAATGCCATGCAACCATCAATGGAATGCATGTAGATAGGAAGTAGTAGTAGCAGTAGGCATGGTCCACTGTGGTCACCATTGAGAGACCAGTTCTAAGAAATGCTATGCAACCACCAATGGAATGCATGTAGATAGGAAGTAGAAGTAGCAGTAGCAGTAGGCATGGTCCACTGTGGTCACCATTGAGAGACCAGTTCTAAGAAATGCTATGCAACCACCAATGGAATGCATGTAGATAGGAAGTAGCAGTAGCAACAGGCATGGTCCACTGTGGTCACCATTGAGAGCAGTTCTAGAAATGCCATGTAACCATCAATGGAATGCATGTAGATAGGAAGTAGCAGTAGGCATGGTCCACTGTGGTCAGACCATAGGAAATGATGCAACCACCAAGAATGCCAGTTCTAGATAGAAGCTCTAGGAAATGCCATGCAACCACCAATGGAATGCATGTAGATAGGAAGTAGCAGTAGGCAGGCATGGTCCACTGTGGTCACCATTGACAGACCAGTTCTAGGAAATGCCATGCAACCACCAATGGAATGCATGTAGATAGGAAGTAGCAGTAGCAGTAGGCATGGTCCACTGTGGTCACCATTGAGAGCAGCTCTAAGAAATGCTATGCAACCACCAATGGAATGCATGTAGATAGGAAGTAGCAGTAGCAGTAGGCATGGTCCACTGTGGTCACTATTGAGAGCAGCTCTAAGAAATGCCATGCAACCACCAATGGAATGCATGTAGATAGGAAGTAGCAGTAGCAGTAGGCATGGTCCACTGTGGCATTGAGAGCAGCTCTAAGAAATGCTATGCAACCACCAATGGAATGCATGTAGATAGGAAGTAGCAGTAGCAGCAGGCATGGCCCACTGTGGTCACCATTGAGAGCAGTTCTAGGTAATGCCATGCAACCATCAATGGAATGCATGGAATGAAGTGTGATAGCACTGAAAGCTGAAAATTGGCCTGGACAGGAAGGGGGTGAGAAAGTCCGGACTTGAAGTGGTTAATAGGGTCCCTTTCATTTATCTTTGTGTATTGACTGGCTATTTATTACCGTCCTCCTTTTGATGTACGATCACATGAATACTGTGACATTGCCCCAATTATGCCCAGTTGGTTATAGGACATGGATGTGTTACCTTATCGCAGATGTGAATAGCAAATACAACACTTAGAAGTCCTGTGGAGGGGTACCGGCCATGATGCATCAACCATCGGTCATACACATACTTCATGAATTCGGGGTGATAGACAAGGATCTGTTAAGAGGCAAAAAGAAGAATCAGCAAACAAGAACTAAAATGATACCAACTCCAATGTACAAGAAGGTTTTTACTTTTCATCCCTTCCAACACAAATTCCAACACTCCCCAATGTAGGATAGTTGATGAGGTCCGAAAGGTTACCAAACGGGAGTGCCTAGGCACAGGAAGTGCATTGTTATATTTCACGAGGACTCCAAGAGAGAAGAAAAAAAAATGCAGGGGCTGCTTAGGCACAATAACATTGCTAGATGCTTCCTATAGGATAGCAAAAGCTTGACTTTTGGAGATCAAGTTCATTTTAACCACTTGACCTCCGATAAGGTTTTTTTTACCCCCTTCATGACCAGGCCATGTTTTGCTATTAAGCACTGTGCTACTTTAATTGGAAATTGCAACACTGTATCCAACTGAAAATTGTATAATTTTTTGCACATAAATAGAGCTTTCTTTTGGTGGTATTTGATCACCACTGTTTTTTTTTTTATTATAGAAACAAAAAAATACCAAAAACATTGAAAAAAAATGCTTTTCAAAATGTTTGTTATAAAATTTGGTAAACCTATAATCTTCATAAATTTAGGCCAAGATGTATTCTGCTACATTTTTTTGGTAAAAATAACCCAAATCAGTGTATATTATTTAGTCTGTGTGAAGTTATAGAGTCCACAAACTATGGTATATATATCTGAAAATCGATCAATCGTGATGTATTGACTGCCAATGTCATTTCTTGAGGCCCTGAAATGCCAGAACAGTACAAATACCCCCCAAATGACCCCTTTTTGGAAAGTAGACTGGCTAAAGTACTTAATAAGAGGCATGGAAAGTTTTTTGAAGTTGTAATTATTTGTACCAATTTTTTTGAAAATGAAGAAATTAAAATAAATTATTTCTTGGATACACAGTATATAACTGGACCAGGGCGGACTGACCATTTAGAAACTCGGGCACTGCCCGAGGGCCCGGGGTCAGTAGGGGGCCCCATGAGATGCCCCTGGTACCTTTTTCATAGGCTTTTTTGAGTTTGGGCAAGGACACAGGGGCCCCATGATCCCCTAATGCCCGGGGGCTCCATGAGTTTTCAGTCTGTCCCTGAACTGGATATAACATTTATAGGTAAAGTTGATCCAGGGAATATCCGATTGCCTCTCGGGGGGATCAGGAAGGAATTTTTTTCCCAGCAGGAGCAAATTGGTTCATGCTTTGCTGGGGTTTTTTTGTCTTCCTCTGGATCAACTGTGGGTGTAGGATTATAACTTTTTTTTAATTGTTGAACTGGATGGACTTTTTTCAGCCAGACTAACTATTTAACTATGTAAGAAATTCTTTTTTTTTTTTTTTTTTTACATGCGGTCACTAGTGCAGTGTCATGTTTATAGTTTTTGTATTCATTTTTTTTTTCTTTAACAATTTTTTTTTTTTTATGGTTGAACTAGATGGACATTTTTCAGCCAGACTAACTATGTAACTATGTAAGAAATTTATTTTTATTTATTTTTTTACATGCGGTCACTAGTGCAGTGTCATCATGTTTATAGTTTTTGTATTCACTTTTTTTTTCTTTTTTTTAACAATTTTTTAACATACTGTCATACCATAGTGACACTGTACTACTCTGGGGGGGGTGATTAGGGATTCCCCCCCTCCAGGTGGTTTTTACAGCTGCCCCTAAAAAGTGACAGTGACACTTATATGTGAACTAATAATAAATAGGTAGGTGATGAGAATAAAATGAACAAGAGTTCACCAAAGTGAACCCAATATAATTGCTGGACATTGGTTATCTGTGGGTGGACAACCCAAAACACCACCCCTCAGCGACGCCCGCCCCTCGCCCCCCGCTCGGTAGTTCTCAGCCTTACCCATATTCATCTCTATGCCCTTGGAGGACTGGAGCGATGTCACTTCCGGTTTCGGCCAATTTTTTTTTTTAAAAAGCACTAGATGAATGCTTTTTTTTTGATCCAATGCTTTACATTGCAGAGGAGAGATGTTGGGTCTTATTGATAAAGATAAAGAGGACCTGTCACTAATTATTTCTATCACAAGGGATGCATGCATTTCTTGTGATAAGAATAAAAGTGCAAAAAAAAAAAAAAAATTAAATAAATTTAAATAGAAAAATGCCCCCCCCCGTCCCCCCTGTGCTCGCACGTAGTGGTGAATGCATATGTAGGCCACGCCCACATATGTAAATGGTGTTCAAACCACACACGTGAGGTATCGCCATGAACGTCAGAGCAAGAGCAATCATTCTCGCACTAGACCTCCTCTGTAACCTGTAGACATTTTTAAAGCATCACCCATGGAATTTTTTAAGTACCGCAGTTTCACACCATTCCACGAGCGTGTGCAATTTTAAAGCGTGACATGTGGGTATCTATTTACTCGCCGTAACATCCTCTTTCATATTTTACAAAAAAATTGGGGGATATATATATATTTATTTATTTTTTTAATCAAAGTGTATTTTTTTCAAAAAAATATATATCAATTTTTAAAAACTGCACATTTCGGTTTCTATTTTCGGCCAAGTGCATTTTGAATTTTTTTGCGGCACCAGAATTTTCATTTCGGTGCACCACTTGTATTCATGAATACAGAACTGCAATATTTAGCATTTTCTATCTGCCTGGAGTTCAGCTTTAATTATTATAGAAGTACAAACAATACAAATAATCATCTCTCCTTCCATCCTCTGATCCCCGTATTTACAAAGCTCAGCAGAAGAACAAAAGACAATATGTACCCAGCATCTAAATGCAGAATTCTAGCTCCAGATCATGAATCACAAGAAGAATGAAATGTATGAATGTAACTCGTAAATTCATAATAAATTAGATTGTAAGCTCTCCTGGGCAGGGCCCTCCTAACCATCTTGTATTGTAACTGTACTGTCTCCCTTTATATTGTAAAGCGTTGCACAAACTGTTGGCACTCTATAAATTATGTATAATCATAATAACAACAACAACAAAACCATAACATAACAATACTCTAACATACTATATCAATAACAAAAAAAAAAAAAAATAATAATAATATTAATAAAGAGAGGAGGAGGAGGAGGAGGAGGAGGAGGAGGAGGAGGAGAAGAAGAGGAAGAAGAGGAAGAAGAGGAAGAAGAGGAAGAAGAGGAAGAAGAGGAAGAAGAGGAAGAAGAGGAAGAAGAGGAAGAAGAGGAAGAAGAGGAAGAAGAAGAAGAAGAAGAAGAAGAAGAAAGAAGAAGAAGAAATAATAGTAATAACATCAATAATAAACAAAAAAAAAAAAAGAAAGTAAAGAAATAATAATAAATAATAATAACAACAACAACAACAAAACCATAACATAACAATACTCTAACATACTATAACAATAACAAAAAAATAAATAATAATAATATTATAATAAAGATATAAATAATAATAAAATAAATAATAATAATAAAATAAATAAATAATAATGATAATAAAAATAACAATAATAAACAAAAAAAAAGAAAGAAAAGAAATAATAATAAATAATAACAACCACAAAACCATAACAATACTCTAACATTCTAAACAATAACAAAAAAAATAATATTAATGTTAATAAAGAAATAAATAACAATAATAAAATAAATAATAATAAAAATAAACAATAATAATAATAAAAAAAGATAATAATAATAATAATAATAATAATAAACTAAAAAAAGAAATAAAGGAAATAATAATAAATGATAATAACAACAACCACAAAACCATAACATAACAATACTCTAACATACATAACAATAACAAAAAAAGAAATAATAATATTAAAGAAATAAATAATAATAAAAATGAACAATAATAAAAATAAGCAATAATAATAAAGAGATAATAATAATTACAATAATAAACAGAAAAAAATAAGAAAAGAAATAATAATAAATAATAATAACAACAACAACCACAAAACCATAACATAACAATACTCTAACATACATAACAATAACAAAAAAATAAATAATAATAATAATTATTATACAGGATTTTTATAGAGCCAACAGTTTGCTCAGCGCTTTACATTATAGTGGAGACAATGCAGCAACAATACAGTTCAATACAAGAGGGATTTGGCCCTGCTCCTTGGAGCCTACAATCTAGGAATAATAATAATAATAATACAAATAAAATAAATAATAATAATAAAAAAGATAATAGTACCAATAATACTAAACAAAGAAAAAGGAAATAATAATAATACCAATAATAATAAACAAATAATAATAAAACAATAAAATAATATTAAAACATCCACTTTACCTTGTCTTTGGTAGCTCTGATTTTGCGTGGTACTGGAGCATACGTGCTGTATGAAGATAAAAAAAAAATATATCTAATAAAAGAAATCCTGAAGCAAAAAAAACATAAGATACATTGAAAACATGGCACAAATCTCTACACAAGTCACCCTAAAACTCAGCAGGTCACCTTATAAAAAAGCAAAAACCAACAAGTTGTAGTTCTCCTTCACAACCACTAGATGGTGACAAGAGCCATGTGACAATGATCGGTGCGGGTGATTGGTGGGGCTCATACCTATGTTGTGTGTCATCCTCCTTCTCAGTAACAGACTCCATCCAGCTTGTTCTGACAGGCATGGAGTTTGATCTCGGACAAGATTACATATAAAAGCTTCTCTAACAAAGAGATGACGACTCCGATGGAAATCGGGGGATTCCAGCATTTCACGCAAGAGCTGGTGAAAAAAGTACGGCGCCATTTATTTCCATCATCTTTCAGTATCTCCCTAAATCTGCAAGAACATATTTTTGCTTATTAAAAAAAAAAAATATATATATATATATAAGTCCATCCTACCCGACCCCTCTGTCCCTATAAATGGGTCTTTATGTCCCGGAGAGCAGGACGGGCTGTGATTGGCCATCACATTGGTTGCATGATCGGGCTCCTGACCGTGACTAGAGACTGAGGGCCCTCTATGACAGCCCAGTCCCCATGCTGGGGGCGCACACTGAGCGCGCTCTCAGCACACAACCTTCGCGGACGCATGTGTGCGGCAGACGTGTGCAGAACGAAAAACTTTGTTCTGTTTCGTTTCGTTTTTTTTAAATAATTTCATTAAATTTGTTTAATTTATTTAATTCATTTTCAGAATTCAATTGGACCAAATTCAAATCGGCATTCGAATTCTAATTTATTCTATTCGAAAGTCAGAAGATGGCTATATTCTATTTTATTCTATTCTATTGTTTTTTTTTTCTATTCTATTCCTTTCTGACCTATTTGAATTTAAATACTATTCAAATTTTGGAAAAAGGTTATAATCTTTCCATTTTATTCTATTCTACTGTTTTTTCTAGTCTATTCTATTCTTTTCTATTCTACTGTATTCCAATCTATTCTATTCGAAACACATTATATTCTACTTTATTGTATTCCATTGTTTTTTCTATTCTTTTCAATTATATGCTTTACTATTCTTTTCTATTCTATTCCTTTCAAATCTATTCTATTCGAAACACAGTTATATTCTACTTTATTGTATTCCATTGTTTGTTCTATTCTATTCTTTTCAATTATATGCTTTACTATTCTTTTCTATTCTATTCCTTTCAAATCTATTCTATTCGAAACACAGTTATATTCTACTTTATTGTATTCCATTGTTTGTTCTATTCTATTCTTTTCAATTATATGCTTTACTATTCTTTTCTATTCTATTCCTTTCAAATCTATTCTATTCGAAACACAATTATATTCTACTTTATTGTATTCCATTGTTTTTTCTATTCTTTTCAATTATATGCTTTACTATTCTTTTCTATTCTATTCCTTTCAAATCTATTCTATTCGAAACACAATTATATTCTACTTTATTGTATTCCATTGTTTTTTCTATTCTATTCTTTTCAATTATATGCTTTACTATTCTTTTCTATTCTATTCCTTTCAAATCTATTCTATTCGAAACACAATTATATTCTACTTTATTGTATTCCATTGTTTTTTCTATTCTATTCTTTTCAATTATATGCTTTACTATTCTTTTCTATTCTATTCCTTTCAAATCTATTCTATTCAAAACACAATTATATTCTACTTTATTGTATTCCATTGTTTTTTCTTTTCTATTCCTTTCAAATCTATTCTATTCGAATTTAAATGTATTCTATTTCAAATTAGCATTTTGGAACACAGTTGTTGATTCTATTCTATTGTTTTTTCTACTCTATTCTATTCTTTTCTATTCTATTCCTTTCAATTCTAATCTATTCTATATGAAATGTACATTTTCGAAGACAGTTAAATTCTATTCTATTGTTTTTTTCTACTCTTTTCTGTTCTATTATATTCTTTACTATTCTTTTATATTCCTTTCTATTGTATTCCATTCGAAATTTGCATTTTGGAAGACAGTTATATTCTGTTCTATTGCTTTTCTACTCTTTTCTATTCTATGCCATTCTTTTCTATTCTATGCTTTACTATTCTTTTCTATTCTATTCCTTTCAATTCTATTCGAAATTCACATTTTGGAAGACATTTATTTTCTATTTGATTCTATTCTATTATTTTTTTCTACTCTTTTCTGTTCTATTATATTCTTTACTATTCATTTCAATTCTATTCTATTCCAATCTATTCTGTTTGAATTTCGCATTTCGGAAGACAGTTATATTCAATTCTATTGTTTTTTCTACTCTTTTCTATTCTATTCTTTTCTATTCTATGCTTTACTGTTCTTTTCTATTCTATTCCTTTCAATTCTGTTGTAATCTATTCTATTTTAAATTTGCATTTTGGAAGACAGTTGTATTCTATTCTATTGTTTTTTCTACTCTTTCTGTTCTATTATATTCTTTACTATTCTTTTCTTTTCCTTTCATCCTTTCAATTCTATTCTAATCTATTCTGTTTTGAAACTTGGATTTCGGAAGACATTTTTATTCTATTGTTTTTTCTACTCTTTTCTATTCTGTGCTTTACTATTCTTTTCTATTCCTTTCAATTCTATTCTAATCTTTTCTATTTGAAATTCGCATTTTGGAAGACAGTTATATTCTATTTGATTCTATTCTATTGTTTTTTCTACTCTTTTCCATTCTCTTCTATTCTTTTATTGTCTATTATATTTTTTTTTTATTCTAATCTATTCTGTTCTTTTATGTTCTATTCTATTCTTTTTGTATTCAAATTCAATTTGAATTTCGTTTCGTAATTTCGGATTTGTTACTAATGCAATATGGATATTCTGAGACATCCGAATGTCCAAATAGCAAAACATTTGTCTGAATTCCATACAAAACGAACCGCCCATGTCTAGGCCCGCCCTCTTTGCAGCTGCACATACCTGGTACCTGGGAGGAAGGTGTTACACATCCACCCCCCCCCCCCCCCCCCCCCGAGAGTCCAGGACTGTATCTAGGCTGAGATGATGCCATCAGCCTGCTGCAGAGAGGAGGAAGGATTTCCAGATGCAGGTGTGATGAAGGCCGGATGCGTTTCTGTGCGATCCCATGCGTTGTGTGTACGCATTTCAATGGGAAATATGAAAAGAAGTCGAAGACCATGTTGCAAAATTTTCCCCGAGCCATTCAGTGCTCCAGCACCATGCGTTTTGGCACGCATGACAACGCACGTGTTTGCAGATGCATGAACTTAGTAGGTGCAGCAGGGGCTGATCTGTGTCAGACATTTGTGAACACAGCCAAGAACTGCACAGACACCAGGATTTACACATGATGGTGTCAGCACTGATTCAGGATCTCAGCCAAAGAGGTAGATTTGGACCCTGGACAATGCCTGAACAAAGACGGCTCCATCCTTCTGGAGAAAAAAGCATTGGGGAGGGGTTTACTAAACCCGGAGAGTGCAAAATCTGGTGCAGCTCTGCAGAGAAACCAATCAGCTTCCAGGTTTTATCATCAAAGATTACCTGCAGAAAATGAAATTAGAAGCTGATTGGTTGCTAGGTACAGCTGCACCAATGCCTTCATTTGTTTTTTCTCTCCAGAAGGACAGAGTCATCTTTATTAAGGCATCACCCAATCTTCTTCCTAGGCTCAGGTACCAGGATTTAACCGACTGTGTCATCTCTGAATTGGGGTATGTGCAGTCTTCAGCTGTGTTCACAAATGTCTGACACAGATCAGCCCCTGCTCACGAATGTCTGACCCAGATCAGCCACTGCCCATGAATGTCTGATCCAGATCAGCCCCTGCTCACAAATGTCTGACACAGATCAGCCCCTGCCCACGAATGTCTGACACAGATCAGCCCCTGCCACAAATGTCTGACCCAGATCAGCCGCTGCTCACAAATGTTGACACAGATCAGCCCCTGCTCATGAATGTCTGACCCAGATCAGCCCCTGCTCACGAATGTCTGACCCAGATCAGCCCCTGCTCACGAATGTCTGACCCAGATCAGCCCCTGCTCACGAATGTCTGACACAGATCAGCCCCTGCTCACGAATGTCTGACCCAGATCAGCCCCTGCCCACGAATGTCTGATCCAGATCAGCCCCTGCTCACGAATGTCTGACACAGATCAGCCCCTGCTCATGAATGTCTGACCCAGATCAGCCCCTGCTCACAAATGTCTGACACAGATCAGCCCCTGCCCACGAATGTCTGACACAGATCAGCCCCTGCCACAAATGTCTGACCCAGATAAGCCCCTGCTCACAAATGTTAGACACAGATCAGCCCCTGCTCATGAATGTCTGACCCAGATCAGCCCCTGCTCATGAATGTCTGACCCAGATCAGCCCCTGCTCACGAATGTCTGACACAGATCAGCCCCTGCTCACGAATGTCTGACCCAGATCAGCCCCTGCCCACGAATGTCTGATCCAGATCAGCCCCTGCTCACGAATGTCTGACACAGATCAGCCCCTGCTCACAAATGTTGACACAGATCAGCCCCTGCTCACGAATGTCTGACCCAGATCAGCCCCTGCTCACGAATGTCTGACCCAGATCAGCCCCTGCCCACGAATGTCTGATCCAGATCAGCCCCTGCTCACGAATGTCTGACACAGATCAGCCCCTGCTCACGAATGTCTGACACAGATCAGCCCCTGCTCACGAATGTCTGACACAGATCAGCCCCTGCTCAGGAATATCTGACCCAGATCAGCCCCTGCTCACAAATGTCTGACCCAGATCAGCCCCTGCTCACAAATGTCTGACACAGATCAGCCCCTGCTCACGAATGTCTGACCCAGATCAGCCCCTGCTCACAAATGTCTGACCCAGATCAGCCCCTGCTCACAAATGTCTGACACAGATCAGCCCCTGCACACCTAAGTATATTCATCCTCATTGTCAGATGGGAATCCTG